AAATTTAATTGGATCTACTAATTAGGATTAAATTATAGTATCTTCTCGTAAAAAAAAATCTAGTATATGGGAAATTATCCGGTATATAATAATAATAATAATAATAATAATAATAATAATAATAATAATAATAATAATAATAATAATAATAATAATAATAATAGCTAAAAAAACAAGATATTTATATTAATACTACATACAATTGTAAATTTGGGAACTTAACTTTGTTCAATGTATGAACTTGGGGCTCACATTTACTGAACTGATTGGAGCTAAACTGAACTTAACTGATTGGAGCTAAACTGAACTGAACTTATTGGAGCTGAATTAAACTGAACTGAGCTGAAATGAATATTTTATGAGAGAGGGAAATTAGAAGTTCAATTGAACTGAACTGAACTGAACTGATTGGAGCTGAATTGAGCTGAACTGAACTGATTAGAACTGACTGAACTGAACTGAAATTAAGTAAATGTGAACAAGCCCTTAATTGTTAGCTAGCTAAGCTAGATCACAATACTTAGCAATGCAAAAGGTCTATCTACTCATATTACATCTCACTTAGTGAGATCAACCTAGCATTTGCACGAAGATTACATCCTTTTTAAACCTTGATCCTTGGAACAAACAAATGTCTCATTCAATACAAGTACATTCTCTGAATTTCAATCATTAAATTTTAATTAGAAGTCATATATCAGAGTGATAATATATATCTTTGTAAAATTGTGCTATTCTCTACCTTTATTATTAATTTGTTTTTATTCATTCAAATCCAATATTCTTTTATCCATTTTTAATTAACCAAACATTATTATCTTGTATTTATTATTCATCACCAAATGAAACTTTTATTAAGGGACGCATGCACTGTGTACTTAGTAATAATTTTAACAAAATAATCAAACGCTAACATTTTAATTTGTATATATATATTCAAGTATAATATATAGGTTTCATGACCAGCTTGTCTCTTCGTTGTCTTGAGTTCAACTTATTAGGGGTACGGTACTCTTAGATTGAGCCAATTAAGATGGCATAACTTGGTGTCAAGTTAGCTACTTTGCATAGCTCATTATTATCATTCATTGAGAATTAACTTGTATTATATTTCTTTCTGTTGCAACCGTACACTATGTTTTGAGTGAAAAACACGAAAGAGATGAGAATTTAAACCAAAACCAAAACAAACCAAACAATTCAAGTTGATCATATAGTACATACTATGAGCAAATAAAAACAAATGAAGTTTGAGATGCAACAAAAAATATGATGACAATTTAACACAATAAAAAAAAAACGGAAAAAAGGGTGGAGATTTTGGGGCAACAAAGCCCTATGCTAAGGCTTGCGGCTTCCATTAATATACACGTAGGATCTGTTCCGATTTACTGAAAACGACGAACTGAACTGAACTACATAGAGCTAAAATAAATTGTTTATAAGAGAAGGAAATTGAGAACTGAATTGATTGGAGCTGAACTGAACAAAACTTAAATTAAGTTGAATAGAACAAACTCGCAGTATATTTTAGTATTATTTCCTCATTTTGTAATTTAAAAATGTGATAAAGTGTAAGGTATATATATGATATCATAATTTTTTTTTTTTTTTTTGGTTGGCAAGAAGGACCCTACTGAGCCAGAATCTCTCACAGATTCTCTCAGTCCGGATTAGTGGGTTAGACACTTTAGGAGAAGAGGAGAAGGATAAGTGAGTCCTCATCTCAAAGTGCCTCTAGTTTTTCATAACTGTGAGATACAAACTTTATCATACGTTTCTATGACTTTATTTATAGCATTGACTTTCTTTTTCTACCAATTTTTTCGCAGAAGCTATGTAGTTACACAAAAATCTCACGCGCCTTCTTCGATTCGCATCACAAGGAGCATATGTTCCTTAATTTGCTCAGTTGTGCTTAGAGCACGGTTCAATAACTACCATGTTGAGCAATGTGCGTACGTATTTGCATGAATGGATAAGGAAACATGATCTTACATACCTAGAACTATTAGGCAGCTAAAAATGATGCATGGCATTCAACTTATTAAATCTATATTTTTGAGGGTTTTAACCATTAATATGACGTCTATTGAGATATTGTTGTTTAAAATAAAATCAAATATTGGTGAAATAATAGAGTTTTATTTATGATTATATAGGGCTGATGAACCATTTAGATCAAGTCTATTGATATATTTATTTAATTTTTTAACAAAAAAGGTGGAATAATAATAGAATATACTTCATCTGCTTTTTTTTTTTTTTTCAATAATTTGACTTTTACACTATTCACGTGTTTCACTTTGACAAGCTTTAATGATTAATACTTAGCAAAATATAGTTAGGTCGGATCTTGTTAGATTCGTCTCGATTTGTATTATTTTAATATCAAATGTTTATAATTTTAACTTATTGAGAATTAAGATATTAACGATTAAAATCATGCATCAGCAAGTATGAAAATAGAAATGTTGCAACTATAAAGAAACAACTATAGAAAGTATATATTGTTTGTATGTGTAGTGAGCCGCAAGCTTTAGAAAAGGGCTTTATCACCCCCAGAACCTCCAACACTTTTTCCTTTTTTTGTGGTATTATTATGTCATCATTCTTACTGTATGTTGCATCTCAAATTCCTTTTGTTTCAATTTGCTCAAATGGGCGATTTGATCAACTTCTTTTGTGTTTTTCACTCAATATTTATCGTCATATTGCAACCGAGAGAAGTACAATTTACTTTAAATTAATGATAATGTGCTTAATTTGATCACTTGACAATTAACAAAAAAAAGTTTAGTTATTTTAGCTTATTGGTTCATTCAAAGTGTTAAAGGGTCAAAAACTTTAACTAATGGTTGAAGTTTATAATTGGTTTATATAATCTATCACGCCCTCTCATATGAGAACCCGTTGAATTTAAAGAGTTGATGCGGCATGAGACGATTGAGACCCCTCATACGCAACAGCGAAAATGGCAAAATATTCCATCTAAAAATGGGGAAAGTAAAAAAGTGTATTTCTTTATTTTTGGTATAAAAATTATATCATCAACATTTTTTTATTCATCCCATTTTCAGTTTCATTTATCTATGTAATTTTAATTTTAGTTTGATAACTTTCGAATTCTTTTTATATATTTTTATTTTTTTATGTTGGATGTTTTTTTTTTTTTAAAAAAAAAAAAAATCACAAATTCTTATATGTGGCTGGCCACACCGTGTGACCAGTCATCGTAAGGGTTACTTTGTTAGTGTTATAGGGATTACTTGCTCAGTGTTAAATAGGTTACTTCGTAAATGTTATAAAGGTTACTCAGACAGTATTAATTAAAAGGGCTACTTTTTCAGCATTACAGGGAAACTTGGGGTCCGTTCTCTTCAGTTCAGTTCATTTCATTTCAATTCAGTTCCTAATTTCCTTCTCCAATAAATAATTCAGTTCAGTTCAGCTCAGCTCAGCTGATCAATTAAGTAAATGAGAACAGGTCATTAGTCAATGTAATAGGTGTTACTTTATTCTTTTACAAGCGGTCACACGGTGTGGCCAGCCACACACAAGACGGGCCGGGACAAAGCTAAGCTCTCAAACACACACTTGCATAAAATGTAACCGGCCTGTCCGGCCATTATAAAGATATTTTTCTAAAGTATCTCAAAGATACGTACTCTTACATACCATGCTTTGTTGATTCAATCAAAATTGCAATCTTCAATTTATTACTTCAAAGTTCAAACATGTTAACAGTACAAAATGTAAAAAAAATCATTTTTGAACAAAAAATAACTAGCTAGGTCAAAAACCTGAGATATAGCTCGATGCCTTAACTTAAGGACCCATACATATGCATACCAATCCCAATAAAGTCGCAATATAATCTTTTTGTTCCTTTACAAATCCTTAGTTAGTTTGAGCTAATGAGGCCTGAAGACAATATTTAGATAATAAAAATGGTTAATATACACAAATATATATAATCATGTGTGATCTTGTTAGATTATCTCGATATGATACTTGTCATCGAGGGAGAAATAACTATAGAGGTGCTTTGTATTGAAAAAATATTGGAGATAAGTGTAAATCACTAGCACATTCAAGGAAAATGTCATTAGATTGTTACAAGGTTACGTTTTTAAAAATTACAAAAGATATTGAATGTTCTTTTACATTTTTTTCAATTTCATAAAGCATTTAATTAATTCAATACAAATAATGAAAGACAATTTAGTTGTACATATATGTTTGACCACTAACTTTTATATGGAGCCACCATGAGACTATCGGTTATTTGTGTTATAAGGGGTACTCTATCACGGTTATAGGAGTTATTATATTATTTAAGGGTTGCAAAATAAAATAAAAAAAAAAAAAAAGGGATTATTCTGTCAGTATAGTTGCTAACTTGAGGGTACTCCGTTAGTGTTATAGGGGCTACTCTATTAGTGTTATAGGAGTTACTTTGTTTTTTTTTTTTTTTTTTTTTAATTCATTTATAAGTGACTACACAATATGATCAGCTCACAAAAAACAAGCTGTAATATAGCATATACTACCTCCGATTTTTTTAGTTGCAACTTTGGAATATTTTATATCTCATAAATAATACCTCAAAGTTGCAACAAAAAAAGTCGCAGATAGCCACAACGTTAATTCAAAAACATATTACAACATCCAATAACCATGCATATCTCTACACAAATACGGCAAATAGTTAACATAAACCAATAGGGAACCATGCGAGGTTTCAATGGAAGGGGGTATAATACTGTCTTGCAATTTGTAATTTCAATATATTAATAATAATAATAATAATTCCAGTGTATTATAATTGCATGCATGTTACGTACAAATAAAGTATAAAGTTATGACCTATTGCACAAATTAAAACCTATAAATACCCTCTACCTTTCCTTAATATCTTTCATCCTCAACAACCTAACTTCCTTCTCTTTTCCACACACAACATTTCTATATATCTTTTTCTAGTTAAGAAAAAGAAAATGGAAACCAAAGTAACATCATCCTTAACACATGTACTTATATTTGTTCTCTTCACCTTATTCTTCGTTGTAAATCGACAACTTGTAGCAGCAACCAATATTAACTTGGTGAGCCTAGGTGCAAAATCAGACGGGTTAACAGACTCATCAAGGGCATTTACGTCTGCATGGAAAATTGCGTGTGAGTCAAGAAACCCTTCCACAATTCTTGTACCACAAGGAAGGTACTTGGTTAACAAAGCCTTAGTATTTAATGGGAGGAATTGCAAGAACAAGGCTATAAGCTTTGTCATTAGAGGTACCTTGGTGGCCCCGGCTGACTTTCGAGTGCTCGGAAATGCCGGTACTTGGTTCTCTTTTGATGATGTTACCGGAGTTTCTATCTTCGGCGGGGTGTTTGATGGACAAGGTGCTGGTTTGTGGGCTTGTAAGAGGTCCGGGAAGACTTGTCCCCCGGGAGCTACCGTAAGTAAATTTTATTTTTCAACCTTAATATAATTATCTATGACATACATGATCAATTATTTAAAATCAAAATAAAAACACATAATAAATTGAAAATTAATTTGTTAATTTAAATAGCTGATCAAAGCTTTAATAAACTATGTACATGTTAACCACTATATTAAGATGATGTTAACATGTTATTAACACACTTGTTGTACCTAATGTATCACGGATGTTATATTATTTGTTAGAGTACATTATATTCTTAATGTTGGACAATAGTTTATCATCTAACTACTTCTTTATTTGTCCAGACAATTCGATTTTCAAATTCAATGAACATCGTGGTGAATGGATTAACTTCATTGAATAGCCAATTGTATCATATTGATTTTGATGGTTGTAAGGAAGTAAAAGCTGAAGGTGTGCAAGTCTCGGCCTCTGGTGCAAGCCCTAACACCGACGGAATTCATGTTCAACACTCGACTGGAGTGACAATCATGAACACAAAAATAGGCACAGGAGATGATTGTATATCAATTGGAGCCGGGATTAGTAACTTGTGGATTGAAAATATTGCTTGTGGTCCCGGTCATGGAATTAGGTATTTATTAAGAGCCATTTCTAACTATAGTGATTTTGTTGTCCAAATAATATACATACTAAAAGCAATAAGCAATGGTGTGCTAAAAAAATTAAATTAAATTACGCGCAAAGTTTGAACATATGTTCCATTGAATTTCAGCATCGGGAGTTTAGGTAAGGAGCTAAACGAACCTGGAGTAGTGAATGTGACAATCAAGAGTTGTACATTTGTTGGCACCAAAAATGGAGTAAGGATTAAATCATGGGGAAGGCCAAGCAATGGATTTGTGAGACATGTTCTCTTTCAGCATCTTACAATGGTGAATGCTCAAAATCCAATCATCATTAACCAAAATTATTGTCCAAATGAAAGAGGTTGCCCGGGAAAGGTAAGAAAACAACATCATTTTTTTCTTCTTATTTATTCATTAAAAATTAAACTAATTAATTAACCATTCATATCCTCTATTTATACTAATTGTTACATTGCATACTTATAATTGACCAGGTTTCAGGAGTAAGAATCACTGATATAACATATCAAGATATTCATGGAGCATCAAGGACACCAATTGGTGTGAAATTTGATTGTAGTTCAAAATACCATTGTACAAACATCAAACTCAATGACGTGCATCTCACCTATAGAAACAAACCAGCTGGAAAAACTTGTATTAATACTGTTGGAAGTATCTTTGGTTCAAGTCAGCCTAATAACTGTTTTTAAGTTTTGGTTAATTTAAGTAGTGTAGATCATCATTTTATTATATAGTTAATACGTAATTAGTTTTTCATATCTAGCACAATCAATATAAAATTATTGATCATTTATCTTTGTGATGGCATTAATTGAATAAAAGATTGTATGATTTGTATCTTTATAAGTTGATATTGACAAGAGTACTATATGTATTGCTATGGTTCATGTTTTGGTGTATCTTTGTTTATGTATACCTTATTTTATGCCACTTTGCCCATGTTCACATTTACTGAACTGAACTAAACTGAATTGAACTGAACTGATTGAAGCTGAACTGAGCTGAAATGAATATTTTATGAGAGAGGGAAATTGGGAGTTGAACTGAACTGATTGGAGATGCACTGAACTGAACTGAATTGAATTGATTAGAGATGAACTGAACTGAAATTAAGTAAACGTGAACGTGTCCTTAATTGATTTTTTTTTCTTTTGAAATAAACACTTAATCAAGTATTGACAAAAGTAAACAATAATAAATACAAACTACTATAAAATAAACAAATTAAAAAAAAAAAACTATGATAAATAAGATTTCTGCATGCACAAATTAAAGAAGGAAACAAGATCACCCAAAACAGGATCTTAAAAACATATCTTTATTTCAAATAAGGTGACGTATATCTTTAATTATTTCAAAAAATAAAAAATAATTAAAAAATGTTTACAACAAACTTTTAATTATATATCTTTATTTCAATTAAGGTGACGTATATATTTCTTCAAAAAAATAAATAAATAAGCGACGTATATATATCGATTAATTGATATTTACTTTTGATGCGTCAAGCAGTGGCGGAGCCACTATAGGAACATGGGGGACAACGGTCCCCCCATATTTAAAAAAAAAATAAAAAAATTATTTTTGTAAGCATTAACAGCTTCAGTAAATAACAATATATATATTATATGTGCAACTAGTACCATAAAGGCTGAATATGGTCTGGTGGTTGTTAGGCTTAGAATAGGGCTTGTTTCTTCCTTCATTTCTAGGATCAAGCCTTCACAAATACATATTTTTATTTAATTTTAATTCCTTTTTCCTCTTTTGAGATTTTTTTATTTCATTTTATAGTTTATACAAAGTGCTCCCATTTAACTTCTTTTTCTTGATTTTGGATTTTTCCCTTTTATTTACTTGTATTAGGATTTCGTTATATAGTGTATAATATATACTTCGTATATTTAAAGTACAGTATTATAAATCTTCAAACCTCTAACTACTCTCATTTAGCTATTTAATCAAGTACCGGCGTACTGCCTTGTTGATAATGATTACTAATGTGTTATTCGACTATATATGATCGTTTGATGAATACATATTTCCGTAATTTTTTCATCTCTTTAATTATGTGCGCTTAAATTCTATTTTATTATTTTTTTTTTAATTGTTTGGAACTAATTTTACTTTATAGATTACATTGTAATAATTTCAATAGTCAAACAAAGTTGTGTTTATTTTTTTCGAATGTAACCCAAATCTCTTTATATCTATTATCAATTTATTTAAATGCTTGTTATTTGATTAATTATATTTATTACATAACTTAAAACTGGGGTTTACCAACAAAAAATTATTTTTTTGGTTAATAATTTTCTTAATATATATGCAATGAATCTTTTAACCACTCCTCTTTTGTCATATAAGAATATTTGTCATATTTCATATGCGATTTTAATTACATATTAAGAAATTATGTTATCAAAAAAATTTGTCGATTTATTAAACATTTGAAATTTGTCCCCCCGGATTACAAATCCTGGCTCTGCCACTGGCGTCAAGCCTCGAAAAAAGGCTTAATTCTTCCAAAATCTCCAACCAAAATTTCCTTTATAAGGTTTTATATATGTCATCATTCTATCTTTTATTGCCTCTCAACTCTATTTTTTGTAGATTTGTTCATATGAACATTAAGATATACTTGTAATTCTTATTTTGTATGATCAAGTTTTCCCTTACCCTGACTGCAAATTTATATTATGTTAAATCTATACCAAGACGATCAAGCTAAGTCATAGTGCGTGGGTGAAACATATTTTCCCATCCAGGACGACATTTAACGTCTTTCATTTAATTGGTACGGAGTAGAATTCATAATCTAGAATCTTCTGTAAGAAGAAAACAAATACAGCAACTAACTTAATAACTAATTCCCTGAAAACAAGGAAATTCTGTTACTGCCCTGAGCTGAGCTGGCAATTCTGTTATGAGCTTGGTCTGAGCTGGCAATGCTGCCCGAGCTAAGGTTTGCTAACTGTGCATGCTGAGTATCTTCAATACCCCCCTTCAAGATGGGAGCTGATGAAATCACTCCCAACTTGGACAAAAGAAGCTGCAAATGAGAAGAAGGAACAATTTTGGTGAACAAGTCTGCAAGCTGTTCACCAGTAGGAAGATAGGCTAGTTTGATTAAACCTTCCAACACCTTGTCTCTAGTAAATGACAGTCAATTTCTATGTAACACCCCAATAATTCTCCCTTTTCCAAACCACTTACTTTAAATAAAAATAGAGGAGAATCATTGGCATGTTACCGCCACGTGTTAAAATGTTAAGGCTTTATCAAAGTATTGCAGCGGAAATCCAACTTAAATATTAAAATAATATAATTTAGAAAACCAATAAGTCAAAGCTTACAAATTGGAACCATAAAGGCCCTTATTAAAACCAAACCAATATTCAAAATCCCAAAACATAATTAAAATAGTAAAACATAAATAAGTTCAACACAAAGAACGAATACTCTCAATCACACCAATCCCTTGACAACGCGTATGTCAAATCCCCGAACTTCACATCATCAAGCTAACCTGTGCAATACTGCTCCCCAATAATACAAGTGTAATAATTGGATCATCACAGGGTCATTGAAAGGCGAAGGCCATGACCAAAAGAAAACACACAAAAGCACGCAATCAGCAAAGCTGAGTACATACAAGCTACAACGTACCAAACCTAGCATTCTCAACTAATTAAAGTAAATAAACATACAACACGAATTCATTAATCAAGACTCCACACTTAAACAATTCAATTGACTCAACATACTTTCTAACCAATTCTAAATACTCGACTCTTTATATTTAATTTAATTAATTTAGTTTGGAGTAAGCAATAGACGAGGTTGTCCAACCCACCAAATCATTTTGGTCCCAAATGACCATTTAAAATAAAAGTTTAGCGCGATGCAAGAATGGGCGCGACTCCATTCTCACAAAGTTAGTCTAGGATCTCATCTAACTTTCATTATAAAATAAAAATGTAAATACCAAAAGAGAAGAGGACATGTTGATCAAACAAGCCTCGGAAAGCCACGGGCTACCACCGTGTACCCCAACCCATAATTGTCAATACTCTAGAAGTGCACGCTTTCTAGAGTTTTATTGCTCATCCATGTTTCACTTTACGTGATTACAATTTTAATTAATAGCCAACTCAATAAAATAGACCATACATAAAAATCATACATCAATTTACTTTTAATCTTATTTAGGACAATGGTGATCACATCACAAATTGACCTTTAATTTCATTAAACTTCCAAATTATCCAAATTGTTGAACATAGTCAACCCACCTAGCCATTTCGGCTTAATCCACTTTTACTCAATATACTAGCAAGTCATGCTTGACTAATAAATAAAATAAAAAACAACCTTGTGGAATAATTAATAAATTCATTCCATTTAAACCATTCAATTCCAATCCTTTAATAATCCAAATGTGGTTAACAAACCAATCCAATAAAAATATGCTTATATCAACATTCCATACAAACAATTAATCCAATATAATTCAACATGTTTGCATCCATAATCCCATACAAATATTATTAATTCACCAAAACATGTCTCATAAACATACGCACATGAATTAATTAAATGTATAACCAAACAATTTTCATCCAAGAGTTCTCTAATCATGAAACTAAGTTCTTTTCTTTGGTATCTAAACATGATACTACTTACAACGAAGTAGACATGTACGTACCTCGTATAAACAATCCTTTGTGCCACTTTTAATCAATTAAAAGTCTCCTAGGGAATAATCACCTCCTAGAAAACAACCAATAATCACAAATTAACACTTTTAAACAAATTTCCAGCAATATAAATTTGATTAAAGCTCCTTAAAACTTCATCAAAAACATGTTTTTATGCTTAATTATGCATTAGAAATACAATAGGAACAAAAGCCCCAATTTAATTAGTCATAAGAATCCTAAAATCCCAATTTAAATAAATTGAAACCCTAGGTTTTAAAATTATAAAATCTGAAAATTATAACAATAATTATAATCTGAAATTATTAGTTTAAAACATCAAAAACATGATTTTGATACTAAAAATATAAACTTTATACTATAAAATCAAAACCCAAAACTAATTATATGAACATTAAGCAAAATTAAGAAAACAAAGGAAGAAGAAGGGGGGAAGGTGGTGCGGTGGCAGGCGCCGGCTGGGTGGTCGCCGGCGACCAGGTGGCGGCGGCAGGGGGGTGCGCCGGAGGTTGCTGGGCGGCAGCATCTTCTCACGTAGGAAGGAGGAGGAAAAGAAAAGAAAGAAAAGAAGGAAAGAAAGAAAGAAAAAAAAGAAAAGGGAAAGAAAAGAAAATAAAATAAAGGAAAAAGGAAATAAATAAAATAAAGGGAAAATAAAACAACTAACCTTTTGTGTGGGGAAAAATTTGGGGATGTATGGGGTATTTATAGGAGAGAGAGTGGTGTAGGGCAAGTTGTAAGATTGAGCCTCATAAAATTAATGGGCCAATCAAGTATGTAAAGTGAGATTGGCTTTGATTGTTTGGACATGAATTATAGAATGATGGTTCATAAAAATCATATTGTAATAAAAATAATTTTCCACCCAAAATAATTTGAAACTTTTGAAATTAAATTCCGGAAAAATACAAATAAATATTATAAATAAAAAATAATTTCATTTATAATATACTTAAAAATACGGGGGA